ATAAGGTTGCGTTACTTATTCTTTACAATGTAACACATTTTTTGGCTAGGGACCCACCAGCTGAGAACTGCTTTCATGGAAAAATTCAGTTATGCCGTTCATTCTCTTTAGATGGTTTAAAGTATGAGAGAGAACAAAAACTAGCTGGTTCACGGACAGTTAGGGCGTCCCGTCTGGCCTTGTAACTCTTAAATGTCTCTCTCTCCTTGTCTAGGAAAGAAAAGCGCAGCATTTGCATTGTACAGTAGATCATTGTCTAACTCAATAATTGCCTCTATCTTGTCGGCACATGTGTCAGCTGTAATTTCGGCCTCAAACAAGAGGCAGATCCATCACCCCCAACTACAAACTCCATTCCTGCTCGTAAATGGCATTTAGTCCGCGTACCTCCATAAGATTTTCACTGCCGATGAGTGTTTATCACAACAGCGCCATTGGGTATTTTAAGACATTTTATAAATGCCAGAAAAACTATTCTGAAAGATGCGTGGGTTGGGGGAAAAAATAAAAGAAAATGAGAAGAAGATGAAGGAAAAAGGCAAATATTCTTAGTCATTCTGTGAGATCCGAGGAACATCTTGGTTTTTAATAAGCAGCAAATTCTATAGGAAATTCTGAATCAGTAATCAAGTTTGAATTCCTCTTCAGGGGCCCCCGAAGGACAGGCGCGGGTCCGTCTTTTTTTCCCCCCTTCTCCCAAAACAGCTTATACTAACTTTCAGCTATTAAAATAGTTCAGTTTTGTATGTAATGGCAAAGTGATTATATTTCGTTTAATTTTTTATTAAGTTAATCTAGAAAAACGTTTGGAACCTTTTTTTGTTCGTTACAAGTTTTTGTTTTTTTAAAGTAGCCTAATGTCCAAGCGGCCAGTGGCAGACATTGAGCCTATGTTTGATCAATTTAACCTTCTCAAATCATCATGACTTGCCTAAAATAAAATCTATAACAGTTCAAGCATATAACAATGTTTAAACATTAAACCTAGATAAATGTGCGCTGTATCCAATAGTTTGTGCGGAGAGTGGAAGCTGAAGCGTGCTTTGCAGGACATGGAGGCGCCAGCGCAATCACTTGCATTTTTTTCAGTGGATACGCCGTCATTTTTGCTCATAAAGGTAAGAGTAGGCTAATAAATCATTCGGAACTGCAAAACACTGTGCTTTTATAAAATAAAGAAAACAATCATGATGCGCATTCTGCCGTCTCTTCTTCAACAGGAGCACTTCGCAAAAATGAACTGAAACTCAGCGAATAGATGCCTCATAGACATGATAAATATATCTATAGAAAGCTTTAAATTACTACTTAACGAAATAAAACAAATTGAAAACAAAAACTCTTTCATTATAATCAATCATAATCCGTAAATATGCACTTCTCTCTAAAGGCGCGTCTAATGAGGAGATGGCGAGTCAGGATCGATAACTTCATCTTTGTGACACCGACTCAGAAAACACTAGTTTATTAGTAAATAATTCAAATATTTCCCACTGACTCATTCATGGTAATTACTTTTGCTGGGCTTTGCGGCAAGCTTTAGCCTATTGCGTGCATTTGAACGTGCATTTTTTTTTTCCATCACTAATTGATGGATGTCTAAAATATAAAAATAAGGAGAAGCCTACAACAGGCTTGAGGCCTGGCCTGTGTCTGAACTATGACGTGAAAATTGACCTAAAGCCCGGCCCTAGTGACATAAAAAAGTCGGGGCCCATCGGGCTAATTTGCAGGGCTCTAATTCCTGCTTCTGTTGACACTCATGTTGACTCACGTGAGCCACCTGCTGGTGCGTGCGCAAATAACACCAGTCTACAATTATTCTCATCAAAGAAGAGACGCTGCTACAGTAAATTAATTACGATGCTTCCTGCTGGGAAAAATGGTTTCATGTCTGGAAATTTCACATTTTCAAAGAGGATAAAGTAAATAGCATAGTTGTACAGCGTAAGCTATGCATGAAGACTCTTGCTTTAACAAAGGCTACTCAACCAACGTGAACATTTGCAGGTATGACTAGCATGGAAATAATCATGTTAGCTAAAGTTTAGCGTTTGTTAGTGATTTAAAATTCCATGTTGTGCATGACTGCAGTTGTAAATTTTCTAGCGGAAAATGAGCCTGAAAATGAAATTAACATGAGAGTCCACACCCCGGATAAGTCAATGAAATAAAGAAATATCATAGCATTTCACATACATTGCGACATGTAAGCTTATTTTAAAATAAACT